GGGAGCGCATTGGCATAGGTAATCCCACAAGCTTCTTAATACCAAAGCCTGGGTTAGACTGACTCCTCTATCAGTAAAGCAAGTCTTGAGCAAATTTTCCAACTGCAAAGCACTGAGAAACTGGAGTAAGGGCTGGTGGGGTGGGGATGCAGTGTGCTTCTGTGCCTATAATAGGGCTGGTGGGTGGGGATGCAGTGTGTCTCTGTGCCTACAATAGGGCTGGTGGGGTGGGGATGCAGTGTGCTTCTGTGCCTATAATAGGGCTGGTGGGGTAGGGATGCAGTGTGCCTCGGTGCCCACAATTTAGCATCATCAGAAACACTGTCAGAAACCCAGATCTTAGGTCAAGCTTCAGAATAATAAGACTCAGAACCTGCATTCACCATGGTCTTATGATTCAAATGCAAATTAAAATTCCAGGTGTACAGCTAGGAAGAATTCCCATATTACAGTCTATCAGATATTACCTAATAATTTTGCTTTAGAAAACACTTCTTGGGGTTGGGGATTTAGCTCAGTGGTAGAGCACTTGTCTAGCAAGCACAAGGCCCTGGGTTCAGTCCTCAGCTCCAGAAAATTAAAAACAAAACAAAAAAAAAAAAGAAAGAAAGAAAGAAAACACTTCTTTGTAACTTGAATACTCATTTTTAGTCAAAGCTAGCGATTTCAGGATAAAATGCCCTTACTTCTGACTTTTGTTATTTTATTTTGTTTTCTGAGGCAAGCTTCATTCCATGGCCTGCAACTCCTCATCCTCCTGCCTCCACCTCGGCAGTGCCAGGACTAGAGGGCCACCACTTGGGGCTGAACACCTCCTCTTGATCAGAGGCAGGCCCAAGCAGCACACAAAATTGTCTAGGCCTGCCATCTAGTGGTACCTCGTTGTGATGCACGGTCTCGTCTCACCTAGTCTAAATCAGCACCAGGGATTTTCTCTTGATCCCATTTCTAAAACCCTGAATTTTCTTTGCATTGTCTGGTTAATTCTAAGTAACATTCAAGTTAAAAGAATGACTAACTCTTAAGTGCTTCCTGCATGCGCCAGGAGGATCCTGAGCCAGCCCCAACTACTCAGCCAGTTCCAGCCAGTTCTTGCCAGTTCCAGCCTGGTCTATAGGAGGAGACCTTGTCTCCAAAAAAGCAAAACATACAAACAAAAGAGAGAGACGTGCAGGTTAATCACACTGGAGACGTCAAGCTTGGAAAGGGATTCCTTCCAAATGAACACAGCTTGGGAGTGACTCATTTTCTCCTCCCATGTTCTATACATTCTACCTGCTTATTTCATAATCAAGAAAAAACCATTTCACAACCTCCAGACTTCATAATTCCCACATTCTGGCAAACCTTTTTTCCAGTGTTGGGGACTGAACACGGGGCTGCAAGCATACCACCGACATTCCCTCAGGCAGAGTTTTGTTTTATGACAGGGTCTTGTCTAGCCCAGGCTAGCCTTTGATTCTCAAAGCTGACCTGCAACTCCTGACTCTCCTGCCTCCATCTCCTCTGTTTCAAATTGCAAAATGTTTTATTCTCAACCAAAGAAAAGTAAAGTATGTCAGAATGACCTCTCACATTTTTTGAAAGTCACTTTTTAAATGTGAGTCACAATTTAGGAAGTAAGAGAAGGACAGGGTCACATAAGTTCCAGGTGAGGCCTTGTTTTCAGCTAATCACACTTATTCATAGGGAAGAAAATGCCTCTTCACTCATCTTAGTTTTAAAGCTGAGGTCCTTCAACCAAAGACAGCTTCACAGAAGAAAAGCATGTAAAAAAAATAACAGTTTTACATGGCCTGAGGGCCTTCGTGAGTAAATGAAGACCAGAAGGATAAATTTATGTAGTAGAATATTTTAAGGTGTGTTACTTTTATTTATGTTGCATTTGTTTAACTCTGTGAAGCTGTGTTACTGTGCCTGTCTGAAACACCTGACGGTTTAATAAAGATCTGAACAGCCAATAGCAAGGCAGGAGGAAGGATAGGCGGGGCTGGCAGGCAGAGAGTTATATAGAGGGAGAAAATCTGGGAGAGGTAGATTGGAGATGGAGCAGCCAGAGAGAAGGAGGAGGACTCCAGGAGCCAGCCAGCAGCTACACAGCAAGTCATGGAGTAAGACTAAGATTTATAGAAGTAAGAGAACAGGAAAGGCCCAGAAGAAAAAGGTAGTTGTGATAATTTAAGTTAGGGAAAGCTGGCAAGAAATTAAGCCAAGCTAAGGCCGGGCATTCATAAGTAAGAATAAGCCTCCATGTGTAATTTATTTGGGAGCTGGGTGGCGGGCCCCCCAAAGGAGAACCAGGAAAACCCCAACAATAACTTTACCTGTTAATTTTTAGCCCGCGTTGGATGAAGAAGTGGGTTGTCACAGAGAAGTGTGACAGGACACCTGGGTCTGAGCTGAGAGTCGTCACAGCAGGAGGCGCTCAGCATGGCTTCCTGTTAACGTCTCCCCTGACAGCTGAATTCAGAGAGATCCCTCTACTTGGCATAGGAAGCCCATCTCTCACATGAGAGTCACGTGACCTGTGGGGTGGGACTTCAAGGCGATCTGCCTCAACAGTGTCCATCAGTGTGTGGGGTGGGGGTGGGTAGGGGGTTGTTGGCTCGTTTGTTTGTTTTGGTGCTGAGGAGAATGCCCAGGCCTCATAAATGCTAATCTCAACGAGCCACATGCCCAGCCCCATGGACCTGCATTTTAGAATAAAATTCTGAACCCCATCACATCACTCTGGAAGTCCATTAAGAAATCCACTAAAAGCATTGCACAGAAGCAAAGAATATGTTTATTTTAGTTATGTTAACTTGGTCTGATGATAAATAAAAAGTCCAATTCAATCTCTATAGCACGTGGTACATAACCTGAACTACAGCAATGCTACAAAAACAACTACTTTAAGGGGCCAAAGCACTTTTCTTCTCAGATCATAACTGTTTGGACTCCAGATGTAGAGTAATTTTGTTTCACTGTTTGTTTGTTTGTTTGTTTGTTTGTTTTGAACAGGACCACACTCTTATCCCAAGCTATCTAACCTAGGCTAGTCTTGAATTCATAGCAATCCCTCTGCCTCAGCTTCCTAAGTACCAAGAGTAAAGGCATGAGCCACCACACCCAACTAGATCCATAGAACTTAGCAACATGCTAAGAGTAGGCAAGGGAGATGAGGACCCTCGAAGATGTCAGGCATTTTTAAAGTGTGGCCATCAATTTGAAAAGAGAAGTAAGGTGGGAGGAGGCATTTTACTGACAGCTCCCCTCTCACTCAAATCTGAGCTCTTCCTCTCCTCTTCTCATTTAGCGCATCCTCATCGAGCAGCCCCAACATTCCCGCTACTCAGGTAAGTAATTATATAGCCTGTTAAGTGTTTGGTTTCTTATTACTTTCATTATGCGAAACTTTGGGGGCTAGAGAGATAGCTCAGTGGTAAAGAACCTTTGTTGCTTTAGTGTTAGATTGATTTACAGATTTATTTCATGTGTGTAAGTGTTTTGCCTGCATGTATGTGCACCCTTTTATGCCTGGTGCTAGCAGAAGCCAGAAAAGGCTTCAGATTCCCTGGAACTGCAGTGATTATTATGAGCCACCATGTGGATGCTGGGAACCAAACCAATGAGTCACACTTGTTGCTCTTACAAAGGACCCAAGTTCAGTTACCAGCCCCATATGGCAGCTCACAACGATCGAGTTCTAGGGAATCTGCCACCCTCTGGCATCCTTAAGCACCTACCTGCATGTGGTGCATATAAACACACATAACAAAAACATACACACACACACACACACACACACTAAAAAAAAAGAATAAAAAAAAAACCCTCAAAGCTAATCACATAGTCTACAGGTGATACATGCACATAATGTAAACACAACCACAAAAATCACACATTGCCACCACAACCCAATACCACTAGCTCCTCTTCAACAAGGTTACGATGCAGTGAAAGAACATTAGTTACAAATCAGAACCTTCTTGTTCAGCACCCTGGTGAATCTGAAGTCCTGGGTCTGGATGAACATACTGCAGGAAGCCTTTTAATGCTTAGCAAAAGAAGTATACGCCGGGCGGTGGTGGCGCACGCCTTTAATCCCAGCACTCGGGAGGCAGAGCCAGGCGGATCTCTGTGAGTTCAAGGCCAGCCTGGGCTACAGAGTGAGATCCAGGAAAGGCGCAAAGCTACACAGAGAAACCCTGTCTCGAAAAAAAAAAAAAAAAAGTATACAAAGGGGGAGGAGCCAGCCTGCCTAAGCCAGACGAGCCAGCCTTCCCCTTTAGTAGACACAATTAAAACATCCAGGAAAGAACTGCTTCTGCCCTGAACATGTACATACTCTTTCTCTGGTAATTATCAGCACAATATCACTATTTGCATGGCATTCATATGCTCTTTGGTATCATAAGTAATCTAGAAATTAGAAGGCACACAGAGGAAGACTGCCATGAGGAACACACTTGTGATCCCAGCACATGGACTTTGTGCATAAGAGGATCACTATGAGTTCACAGCAAGTCCAGCCCACACAGTGAGATCCAGGTCAGCCTGGACTACAGTGTGAGAACAGTCCTCAAAAATACATACATACATACATACATACATACATACATATGTACATACGAACATACAAGCAAAAGGCTTTTGAAATCTCAAAGCTGATCCACAAATGACACACCTCCTCCAACAATCCTTCCCAAACAATTCCACCAGCTATGGACCAAGCCCTCAAACATATGAGTCTATGAGTACCATTCTCATTCAAATCACCACAGATTTTTAGAAAAAAAACCCAAAAACCATATAATAATACAAGTTGTGTGAATATCAAACATATCCATTGTTAAAAGTATACTTTCTAAGTATTTTAAGCATCTGAATATAAAACTTTCACTAAAGTACTTACTTAATTCCTTAAAATGCAAACCACATAATATTCCATCGTAATATGACAAAAAGGTATACATCTACCACTTGAAATACCATATGCATGATTCAAAGCAAATTACCTTTTACACCACCAAAGGGTCCGTAAGTCATATTGCAGGCTGTCCTCTGAAGATGGTGCTCATACATTAATTTTATCTGATATTGATTCCCATGTTCTACATTACCCAATGTGCCTATGGAGAAAAAAATTATAAAAGGAGTACTTTAAATCTGTTTATACTGTTTTATATTAATTTCTTCTCAACCTCTGTATCAGCTTTAATTAAATTTTAGTGAAATTAAAAATGACAAAGTAGTAAAAGGTAAGAACAGTTAACATACTGGTCACAGAGAAAGCCAGCACAGTTAAAAAAAAAAAAAAAAAAAAAACACTTAAATCTCAGCTAAATTACACTATTAGAGAAATAATACCATGGGGAGCATTTTATTACATATTTCTATTAGACATGCCTGAGTGAGGTATAATTATTTAAATGACAGCAAGGCCATTTAATTTCAGTTCTAAAATAAATGCAGTTACATTCCTTCAGTTATAAGTTACATTTTCTTGTCCACACTATCAAAACACCAGCCTCTTCACACATTGTGTCCTAATTATTTGAACTAGTGATTAGACCCAGGTCCTTGTGCAAATTGGACAAGTGTCCTACCACTGAGCTATACTGCCAGCCCTTATACTCCAATTTCACAGAGAAATCTTCCAAACTTTCTTCAACAAGTGGACAGGACAATGTGCTTGTCAAGGGCACAGACGGAACTGCAAGCTACAGAGTTGAGATCATGGAGATGAGATCATGGAGGTGTGTGAGGACTGAAGGTGGGTGCTGGGAAGAAAAGGGACTTAAAAAGCAACTCTTCCATAAAGAATTGTAGCTCTCAAAATGCAAATACTAAAGACGGTGCTAAAGTCGTTTAAAGCAACAAAAATAGCCCATTTGATCATTAAAACCATCTAAATCTTGCCGTGATTAGAGATACCTATCACCCCAGCACTGAGGAGGATGGAACAGTAGGGTCACAAATCATGTCAGCCTCCGCTGCTGAAGGAGACCTCTCTCTCAAAGAAAAGGACATTCTAAGTGCATACAGTTACAAGTAAGCACCTGCTTTGTGGTTGGTTTTTAGGGAGTTGGCTTCTGTGTTCAGAAAAACTTGCCAACAAACCCTGAAACTGTAAGAAAATGTATTATTCTACATTTTAGACTAGAAATACCTTAATTATTCAAATAAATAAACTGAAGAAATTCTCCCCCCTCAAAAAATAAATCACAGTATTGAAACCAGGGCATTAGGTCAGATACTATAACCCAGTTCCTGGCTATCTACTGTTTTAAGAACTTTCGGGGAACCTGGTCTTCCCCCACGGAAGGTCCATGGATACCATCTGTGACAATTTCTCAACAGAAAGTGGCATTAAGGCAATGCAGCTGCCAGCGAGACGCAATGGTGTGACCTGGAGTTCTCTGAAGAAGCTCCTGTCCTAGTTAAGGTTTTTATTGCTGTGATTAAACACCATGACCATAAACAACCTGGGAAGGAAATGGTTTTTTTCAGCTTACAGCTCCATTGCTGAGGAAGTCAGGGCAGAACTCAGGGCGGGACCCGCAGGCAGTAACTGATGGAGAGGCCATGGAGGAATACTGATTACAGGCCTACCCACTATTGTTTGTTCAACCTGCCTTCTTAAAGTACCCAGGACCAACAGCCCATGAGTGGCATGACCCACAGTGATCTGGGCCCCTCTCCACATCAATCATCAATCAAGAAAGTGCGTCCCAAGCTAGTCCACAGGCCAATCTATTGAGTCATTTTCTCAGTTGAGATTCCCTGTTTCCAAAATGGCTCTAGCTATGCCAAGCTAACATAAAACTAGCCAGCACAATTGACCCCTTGTCAACTTGACACACAGATACATCACTATTCAACTAGAACCTTTTCTTTCTCAATTGTCCCAAGATGGCCTGTTAATATTAATACCAAAATATAAAACATAAATAACTTTAAAAGTCCCATAAAAGTTCAGTCTCTGTAAATTATCCAAAGCCTCTTTCAAAATACAAGCCTCTCTAAAATATCCAAGGCCTCTATAAAATCCCAAAGTCTTTCCAAACCAATGTTTCTTTAAAATTTAAAATTTTTCTAAAATATCCAAGGTCTCCTAACTGTTGGCTCCCATAAAAATCAAAATAAGTTATATACTTTCTTACTCCAAGAGGGAAGGTCCAAAGCACAGTCATAATCAAATCAAAACCACAGTCCAGCATGGCCAGACTTCTAGACTTAAGATCTTCGTGGCTCCGAAAGGCTTCCCACAGCACACTCTCTGACTCTGCCATCCACAGCACACACAGCATATAAGCTGAGGCAGGTTCCGTTTCACGGCGGCTGTTTTCCTTGGTGGTTGTCTCATGGGAGTGGCATCTCCAAAATACTGGAGTCTCTGCAGCTGGGCTGCACCTTCACCCACACCCTTTTTAACCTTTAACCAATAACCTTTACTTATAACCTTTCCAGGAGACTGTTCAGACTCTGACTCCATATGTGCCAAGTCTTAACTCCTCTCCTTGACCCCCTCAATCCTGGGGCTTTGACATTCTTTAATGGCCTTTCCCAGCTTCTCTTCGGAGACTCCAGCCACGCAACACAGTATCAAGCCTCACTGCATTCCCTGACCCCTCAGTGTTCTCCATGACCCCTTAATGCCTCCACACGCAGCACTACCTGTAGACATTACCAAGTTCAGCTGTCAGCACGAGGTACAGCCTTGGCCCCTCTAGGCCACAGCTTCTGTGTGCTGAGCCTGAAGAAACACTTCCCCAGGAAATTTCACTGCCGTGATGCAGGTCTCTTCTCAGTCACAGCTGATTCTTCATCCCCAGCTGACCAGTTTCAACTGTCCCAGTAAAGCAGAGGTTTCACTTTAGTAGTTCTTAAGTTCAAATGCCAATGGCCCCCAAACAGTCTTTAAAGGGGCTCTCAAACTTCCCTCTGAGACTTCACAAGCCAGGCCTCCACGGTCTGCATCACTCACAACATTCATGTCTTCCAAGCTCCCACAGAACAAACCACTGAGCTCTGAGAACACAACTTTTCTAGCACAAAGCTCCAAAGACCTTCCACAATTGTCTTAAGTCACTGTTCTATTGCTGTGGAGAGACATCATGGCCAAGGCAACTCTTACAGAAGAAAACCTTTAATTGGGGGCTTGCTAACAGTTTCAGAGTTTTAGTCCATTGTCACCATGGCAGGGAGTATGGCAAGCACGGTGCTGAAGTGGTTGGGAGCTACAACCTGATCCACAGGCAGAGACAGAGAGAAACGACCTAGTGTGGGCTTTTGAAACCTCAAAGCCCATCCGCAGTGACACACTTCTCCCAAGAAGGCCACGCCTACTCCAACAAGGCCACGCCTACTCCAACAAGGCCACACCTCCTAATCCTTCTCAAACAGCACCACTCCCTGATGACCAAGCTTTCAAATATATGAGCCTATGGCAGCCATTCTTATTCAAACCACCACAGCAATTCTTCCCCAAAACATCATCAGGTCTGCCACAGCAATACCCCATGATCTGGTTCCAATTTTTGTTCTAGGATTTTTAACTTCTGTGATTCAACACCATGACCATAAACAGCCTGGGGTGGAAATGGCTCATTTCAACTTACAACTTTCAGGTCACACTACATTGCTGAGGGTCAAGAACTCAAGGCACTTGGAAGCAGTGACTGACAAAGAAGCCATGGAGGAGTTCTGGTTACTAGCTTGCTCTCCCTTGTCTGCTCAGCCTGCTTTCTTAAAGGTCCCAGGACCACTAGCCCAAGGGTGGCACCACCTCAACTGATCTGAGCCCTCCCGCATGAACCATCAATCAGAAAACAATCCCAGGCCAATCAGCTGGGGGGGGGGGGGGTTCTCAGTTGGGGTTTACTCTTTCCTAATGACTCTACCTTGTGTCAAGTTGACAGAAAACTAGGTAGCACATTGTGTCTTTCTTCAAGATCCCGCAGTCTGTCTGACCTTGACTAAGCAGAGCACAGGGACTGTGGAGGGATGCTTGATCGTTCATGTGTGTGCTCTATTCACAGTGCTAAGAAGTGGAATCAGTCTAGATGTCTATCAGCAGATGAGTGTGTAATAAAAGGTGGTACATGTAACAATGAAATGTTATTCAGCTATAAAGAAAACTGAAACTTACAATGAACGGCTGTTGATAGAACTGAGAATAAGTAACTGTTGAGCGCTCAGCCCTTAATTCCCTCTAAGACTCAAGGAATATCAAGGAAGACAGAGCAGAGAGAATTTAAGAACACACAGATGATAGAAAGACTACAAAATGCTATCTTCAGAAAGTGACACAGCCATTATAATCGTGACCTTACAGCAGCTATGGCTGTCTGCACTGGGCCTGTCAACAATCAGCTGTGGGTTAGGGAGGGACTCATGAATGAGTCTTTACTACCCCGATGAACAACTGGCTACTGCTGGTGAATTCTGGGGAAGGGGAAGTTACTGTCTTCCCTCGTGCGGCCACTGGCGAGCACCAAAGGATAAGCTCCAGTGGATAGTTCCAAATCCATGGTTACTGTGCCAGCTAGTTTTTATGCCAACTTTACACAAGCTAGAATCATCTGAGAGGAGGGAACCTCAATTGAGAAAATGCCTCCATTAGATCCAGCTGTAGGCAAGCATGCCTATAGGACATTTTCTCAATTAGTGATTGATTAGGGAGGGACGCAGTGAATAGGGACAGCCCTAAGCTAATAAACCTGGGTTCTATAAGAAATCAGATTGAGCACGTCATGAGGAACAAACCAGTAAGCAGCACCCCTCCATGGCCTTTGCATCAGCTCCTGCCTCCAGGTTCCTGCCCTGCTTGAGTTCCTGCCCTGACCACCTTGGATGATGAACAGTGATATAGAAGACAAGAAAAATCAACCCTTTCCTCCCTAAGTTGCTTTTGGTTATGGTATTTCATCACAGAAATAGACACCCTAACTAAAGCAGTTACATTAAGGACACTGATTAAAATCAGTGGGTCACAAAGAAAAAGACATGCATGTATGAAGGTGACTTGTAGAGAAGATGAGGCTGACAGCGTGGGAGGACAAGACCAGCGAAGGAGAAGTGGATGAGATCGACATGAGCTGACTGGGAGTGGGGTGGCAGAGGGTGAGGAGTGGGGGAAGAGAACATAGGGAAATGGGAGGGTAGAGCTGGAACAGGGACAGAGTGGGAGGGCAGGGAGGGAGATACCATGATAGATGAGGACATCATGGGAATAGGAAGAGGCAGGGTGCCGGGGAGGCTCTCAGGAATCTGCACTTGGCTGTGCTGGGGGAGGAGATCTTTTGCTCCACCCCCTTGGCGTCTCTATAAATGCCCTGGGGCAGAGACAGTCGGGGCCTGTTGGAAAGGTTCCAGGCCCTCTCAAGGCTATCCTTTATTTTCTATTTATCTCCGCAATATAAATCCTTCTATCTAATATTTCCTGCTGCTCTCACTCAAGAAAACTCTGGGGAACTGTGGGGTTGGTGGGTAAACGCCCCACAATCCTCAATTTTAATGCTGAAATCAAGGCACAACAGACTACACACTAAACTGGTACCCACAGGACCACATCAGGGAACAAACCCCAATTTAACCTCAAAATGAAGTGTCTTGAGGTCTGGTCGAATGAAGACAACGAGAAGCTGAGAAACTGGAACTAAAAAGAGAAAACACTGAGGTTCACCAAGGAAAGGACATCTCAAACAACTCTGACTCCACAGCTAACGAACAGCCGCTGCTGAACATGTCCTAAGCTTCAGGGGTCCTGAGGATCCAGAACTGCTGTAGCTGGTCACAGGCTGTTCTGGACACAATTCCTGACAGCACGGAGATGATAAGAAATCCTCTGACAAAAACAAGAATACCAGGAATAGTGGGCCAAGACAACGTGTCCAGAATTACAATGAGTGGTAAGGAAGGCTAATGGAGACCAGCAAATCCTCACATGACCACTTTGTATTCACTCCCAAGTACTCTCAAGTCCTTTATCAAGGCCCAGCTTTGTGATGTCAACCCACGTTAAAAGAAAGTCCTCTTACCTGAGACGGAGTAGACGCAGAGCTTTCTGGAATGCAGCACGGCCAGGTGAAGCATCTCGGTGCCTCTGCAAAAGGGGATAGTTTCAAAGGGTTTAAGTGTCAGCTTCAGATATAGCCCAAAAGTTGATACAAATTGTTTTCAAACAGATTCATAACTGTAGCTACTGTGAGTTAATAAAACATAGACACAATTCCATAATCCTATCAACAGGCACCTGCCTCTAATTCAGGCTTCGCAGAAGGCTGAGTTACAAAGTTCCAAAGCAGCCAGATCCACAGAGGGGAATAAATAAAAGAGTAAGAAGAGGAGAGGACCAGGCGTGGTGGACACACCTTTAACTACTGCACTGAGGGCGGAGGCAGGCAGAGATCTGTGAGTTCCAGGCCAATCCAGTCCACAGAGTAAGGGCCAGCTGGTATAGAAAGACCTCGTCTCCAAAAACAAAAAAGAGTAAGAAGGAAAAGGGAATGCAAAAGAGGAAGGTACTGAGGGGAGGGAGAGGAGGTGGGGGGAAAGGAAGAGATGCTTCCTGAGCCTTAAACCAAACACAGGCCCTAAAGAATCAGCCCTGAGCCTGTCTGTGAGTCCGCTCCCCAGCGAAGAGCTCCACGCTCTGCTCCCTCTTTCTGACCAGCTCACCTATGACTTCAGGCTAGCCACATAATCTCCCTGGGCCCATCCCCCTCTGGGAAATAAGAGGTTTCAATTAACTGAATGCAAGTTTGTGAAGCGCCTGAGCTGAAGGAGCATCCATGCTGTCGGTAGTAACAATGGCACAGATTACTTCCAGATCCCAACTCTCATTAGAAGTGCTGAAAACTTTCATCTTTGACTAAGTCTCAAATAAAATAGCACCATCTACAGTGCCCTTCTCGCCATGTCAAGTGGCTCCAGAGGCAGACACGGGGCAGAGTAGAAATCCTTAATTCACGGGCTTCAGGGGATCAGACAGATGGACACTAATGAGGAAAGGCTGTGGAAGGCTATGATTAACTGAAGACTACAGCCAGGCTGAAAGAGGTGGCTACTATTTGGTTCTGGGCTTCTGGCCAGATCTCCACAATTTTTCAAGAAAAGCCAGAAAGCAGAGGTTTTATGTGAAACCTCCTGGTTCTTAAATATTAACAGCTCTTTTAAATTTAAAGCACCACAGGCCAACATGCACACGCAGCCTCCAGCACGGAATCTGGTAAAGTCAATGGAAAGTGCAAGGAATAAAAACTGAAGTCGGAAGGCTTGATTCTGACTCTCCCTTCTCCACGGGATCACTGCTCAGAGCCCTGGTGCCCTCCTTACAAAGGAAGATCTCTGCTAGCCAACACACGTACAACGCTGACAGACAGCTCCATTATCCCCATCCTTTGCTCTCCTGCCACAAAAATGGGACTTTCACTACACAACTACCATGGAATTGTGTAGTGCTTTCAGAATGTTTTTATGGACCTGGGTATTCAAAACAATACTTTATCCATGTTCCGTAGGAGAACAAGACGGTGTGGAAAGACAGACAGTACAGTACAGAGGCAGACACAACAGGTTTGCATCTTGGCTGTGTGACTTTATACTCTAAAATTTCTTTATAAATGCAGATCATTATGTCAGGTAAGATTATTGAATCAGGGCTGGAGAAGAGGCTCAGAGCCTATAACTCCAGCTCTGATGCCCTTTTCTGGACTCTGTATACATGTTACATATACATACATTCAGGCACACACATATACACATAAAATAGAAAATAAACCAATTTCTAAAAACAGATGACAAAAGTAGAGAACAGAGTCACTCATTGTCACCCTCCTTCCTTCCCAAGAAGTGGTCACAGAAGTGAGAGCTGGGCCCACCAGATAGATCAGTGTTGATCACAGCTCATGCCACAGGCCAGGCAAACATTGCAAACATTAAACCATCTCTGTAAATGCTCAGAGAAGCAGCAGTAGAGAGAGAGGAAAGGCCGTGCTGTTTGAGTTGAGCTGGCACAGAACAGAGCATCAGGTAACAACTGCACTGAGGGCAGGAATTTTAGGATGAAAGGACTGTCTCCTTAAAGGGATAATTATTCCTCCCAACTCTCTAGCAAGTGAATCTGCCTTCTGATGACTGGTCCCTTAGCCAGGATTGAAGGCACAACTGCAGGCAACTGCATGTCTAAAGCCAGAAGCAGATTCCTGGAGGGGAAACCCTAAGATCATGGAGGACACAGGATGAAACTGTAACAGACAAAAACCATTTCTACCGTGAAAACCTAGAGATCTGGTTTCAAAGCTGTTCACCAGAAGGGATTAATGTCAGGACTGGAGTTTCAGTTCCACCCTCATATTCAGCCTTTCCAGGCAGGTATGCTCACTTAGGAGCTAAGAACCCAAAGCTCCCTTCTGACATTCCCGGCCAGAGAATTTTCAACTTATGGCCAAGGACATAAACTGTCCCTGAGCTGCCTGCCCCATTTCTATCTCTCTTCCTCATCATTTTTCCTATGAAGACATAACTCTAACTGTCACATAGAGAGCTGGGAGCAAGCATTAGTTAATATAAGAGAGCAATGAATAGGTGTCTCATGAGTCCATCAAAAGACCCTGGTGAACTTTAATTCACAGATTTAAAATAGCCTTGGTCTGTCTTTTTCTAGTTCTCTACCTAGGACTTATAATGTTAAGACATCATATTAACTCATGTTTTTTAAAAATGGCAATTTGGGTATAGCTCAGTAGTATAGCAATTGCCTAGCATGCATGAAACCTTGGGTACAGTCCCTAGTACTACAGAGTGAATGGAGAGAAAAGGAGAGGAGAGGGGAGGAGACAAGGGGAGGGGAGAGAAGAGGAGAGGGAAGGGGAGGGGAGGGGGAAGAGGAGAAGAGAGGAGAGGAGGGGAAAGAAGGAAGGGAAAGGGAGAGGAGAACAGGGGAGGAGAGAAGGTAGAAGAGGAGAGGAGGGGAGAGGAGAGGAAGATGAAGAGAGGGGAGGGGAGAGGAGAGAAGAGGGAGGGGAGGAGAGGGAAAAGATATACAATATATATACATATATAGTGATGCACACCTTTAATCCCAGCACTCAAGAAGCAGAGATTACCTTGCTATCAGACTCAAAAAAGGGATAAACTCACTTTGCAATGACTGCTCTCAGTATCTCCTGGTAAATTAGATAAAAAGAAACAGCTTTAAGGTTTGTTTATATGAAGATAGGAGAGCTGTCTCACTTCTGTTCACTTAATCTTCTCAGATCTGATGACATTTGCCAGTTTTAACAGCTCTCGCCCCCAACTCCAAGGCTACAAGCACCTTAGTAGCTCATTAGTAAGTTTCCTGTTAAAAGTACAGGCAGGTGTACCTGATTCATAGACTTCATGATACAGAATAAACTGGCTTCAGATGTAACTTCAGAGGTTCAGAGTTTTAACACTGATAAATGCAGTTTTGACAAACTGTAGAGCACTGACTACAGACAGTCTTGGGAGTCCTTACATTTCTGTGGATTTTACTGGTCCCAGCTTTTAGACACAGGTTAGCACTGGAGAGGGTAGGGAAGACTTGCTCCTTCTTCTTCACTCACCTAACCACTTCCACTCAGTAAATTTCCTCTGGTAATAAATTTAAAGATATGTTTCATTGGGCTGAAACCAGGCCCTAGAAAATGTTCATACCTTTCAACCCAAAGCCATAGCTTTTGCTATGGCATCAAGATGTAAATAGTTCCAATTGTTTTACAAACATTTACAGGGTTCTTGCACAGGTCCACCTCTCCTGCCAGACTCATGCCACAGCAAAACCCTCAGGGGCCCTCCAAATACACCACCAGCCACTGCACCATCTGAAGACACCAACCAGGAGAATACTGGCAGGTTAACTTTACCCACATGCCCACTTGAGAAGACTCCATTATCTCCTAATTTGTTGATACTTTTACAGGATGGATAGAGGCATTTTTCCACCTCTGGCAGATGTGATGGCTCCTGTACTTTTGATTTGGCGGGCCATTTCCCCAAGCTCCTGGAACATCACTGCTGGTACCACCACTCCAGACTCAAGGGCGTATCTGCTCTTTTGTCTGGCTCATCCACCCTTGCCTCTTCTGTACAAGCAGGGCACTTCTCTGTCCCATTCATGTTTTGGGGGTTTTATTTTTTTGTTTTTCAAGACAGGGTTTCTCTGTGAAACAGTCCTGGCTGTCCTGTAATTTACTCTATAGACCAGGCTGGCCTCGAACACACAGAGATCCTGCCTCTGCCTCCCGAGTGCTGGGGTAAAGGCATGTGCCACCACCATTGGGCTTTCTGTCCCATTCTTTCTGGCAGCTGTCACTCTTCCCATGGCTGGCCCCACTCATGAGGCCAATGGTAACAATCTTGGTTTTTTTTCCTAGTAACCTGCCTTCTCAGCTCCCTCAAGGGGTCTCCAGAATGACAGCTAACTGAATGCTTCTTCACTCACACCTCCCACTGTGAGTGACTCTGACTCTCAACTTCTCCCTCCCTACTTCACCCAAAATCAGCAGGAAGCAATCTCGAGAATTCGGCACCCTCATTCCTCCCACTTGTTATCCATACCTCACCTTTTTATAATGATCAAAAAGCATTCTGGCCTGTCCCTTGGGGACCCACCCAGCATCCTGACATCTTCTTATATAAAATCCCCTTTAAAAGAAAACCCCTCCCCCTTTTCTCTCTCTTCCTTCCTCTCTCCCTCTCTCTCCTTCCATGAGGCTGCACATACCTCTGCTTTTCTCTCTTTCTCTATGTCTTTCCCTCTCTTTCCCTTTCTCTCTCTTCCCTCTCCCCTCCCCCTTTAATAATAAGACTTCCCACATGGATGCCCTGTCTACATGGTGCGACTTTCCACTACACCATGCTGCTGCCCACCGCATATGCATGATGTGGCTGTCTTTTCACCTTGGCTCAAACTCATCAAGGCTGCTGTGCACTGTTTCACAACACAATGCAGGCCATAAAAGTCTTACTTCACACACTGGCCTAATGCATTCATGGTCCATGTCTCCAACAAAATGAAGCATGTCCCTGGAAGAGAACTCATACTTGTGCTGGCCAGCTTTATGTCAACTTGATACTACT